CATCCCTCTCTTGTCCACCTTACCCTAACAGTGTCTGTACTGCCGCTGCTAAGTCGCTTAGTCGTGTCTGACTCCGTGTGACCCCATAGATGGCAGCCCACCAGGCTCCTCTGTCCCTGGGATTCTCCAGGCAAGAAACTGGAGTGGGTTGCCATTTCCTTCTCCAATGCATGCATGCATGCTAAGTTGCTTCAGTCGTGTCTGACTCCACGCGACCCCGTAGACAGCAGCCCACCAGGCTCCCCTGTCCACGGGATTCTCTAGGCAAGAATACTGGAGTGGGTTGCCATTTCCTTCTCCAACTGTCTGTACTATTACACGATAAACAAAGAGTTCATGCTGATCAAGAAATATAAGAGCTGGAGGTTGGAGATCAACAGCCTAATCCTTGTGCAGCTACAGCTTTTGAAGAATGCTGCATGCTTTCAGCAAGGATTGCTTAAAGCTTTGGTTCTTTAAATTTTACTCAGTAAGGCTATAATAATCACGTCTTAGCTTTTTAGCACACTGTATGGATAAAGGTGCTTGTAAAAGGATTTTAGCTTTCTAGAATATGATAGAAAAAAATTAACTCACATGTTACTTTTAATATTTTACCCATTTTCCCCTCACTAAATGCACATGTCCTCAACATCCCAAAATATCATTTAGTTTAGCATTTCTTATATTTCAAAGATCCTATTTTGTACTAGGGATATAATTACACAGTATTAGATAATGTTATGAACTATTTAAAACCCTTCCTAAAAGGTTAAAACAGGCCATGAACTATATCCAGGGCCAAGTCTCATGAGGCTGTCAAAGGCTCTTTTATAGATCATTTAGAAAGATTAAAGAAACCCCCTCTACCCATGAGAATCTCTGGTCAGTCAATCTAAGATCCTATTAAACATGAAAGAAACCCTTATTTCCTACTTTCTAGCTATGAATTTCTCTCTCTCCACAAATTTTATCACTGGCAATTTTACTTTTAACTTTTAAAACTATACTTATTATCTCATTTTATCTGTGAATGCTAGTAGGAGCCATATATAGAAATGGAAATAACAGCTCTCTTGTTTCTCAGTATGGTCGATAGTCAAGACCTCACCTCTCTCTAAAATGTCAAGTGCACAAAAGCAAATGACTAGGATGTCAGGCAAAGGAGCAGAGGAGGGAGTTGCCACGGAGAGGGAATGGAGGGGACAGAGAAAAGGGCCTGCGATCAAGACCAGAAGCAATAAGAACAATAACATTTCTCAGTTAAATTTTCAGAATTCATTTTTTAATTCCTAAATGGCATGGGAAAGAAAAAAAAATCCAATATATTTGGGAAGATTTTAATACAGTGTCTTTATGTAGTGAAAGATGTATATCCTTCTCTGCATTATCACCAACATCTGAGGATCCTATTCCCCAGATCATGTGTTAGCAGGGATCTCTTCTCAGAAATAAGCTGCTCGGATACTATGTGGCATCACATTGAGCTACCAAGGCATACTGTGTTAACATCTTTTAAATCAGTGTATATATCAATGAACTTTCACAGAAATGTCTGTTTATAAATTCTAAGGACAAAATATACACCTGAGTGGTGAGGATATGTATGGCTAAGATACACTACAAATAAAATGTAACAAAGGGAAATTAATAAAACCAAGAATGACTACTGAAGGCCATTCGTTAGTGGGAACTCAATAAAGCAGAGTCCAGACACTCTGAACCCTGGAAAAGGAAATGGCAACCCACTCCAGTATTCTTGCCTGGAGAATTCCATGGAGAGGGGAGCCTGGCAGGCTCTAGTCCACGGGGTTGCAAAGAGTTGGACACGACTGAGAGATTATCATGCAGCCACTCAGACAGTTTGAAACTATGCTACTGTGTAAGCGAAAAACAACTTCCCAGTTATCTCTATAAACAATTCCGTGGTTTTCTTCAGAAATGAATCTTACTTAGAAAGGCAACTAACAAACTCTTAGTGTGGTGAGAACTTATGATGGTAGGTTGTTACTAAGTAGCATTTCCCCCATTTAACTCCACACTTGAATAATCGAAGATACTAAAGAAATCAGCTACAGAATTTAAAAAACAGATTAGAAACGGGTTAAGGAAAACAGATTTTTAAAGGAGTTGACATCTTGTGTTTTAAAGGAATACTCATAACAGTCCTTATTGGGTAAAGTTGCTGCAAGGTGGGAAATAATTGGTTATACTCCATAAAGGAGGGGTGCATGCTCAGTCGTGTCTGACTCTTTGTGACCCCATGGACTGTATCCCGCCAGGCTCCTCTGTCTATGGAATTTTCCAGGCAAGAATACTGGAATGGGTTGCCATATCCTACTCCAAGAGATCTTCCTGACCCAGGGATTGAACTCATGTTTCTTGAGTCTCCTGCATTGGCAGGTGGAGTTTTACCACTGGTGCCACCTGGGAAGCCTCCATAAAGGAAAGAACTACATAAAACGAGTCTACCATCCTGTGGAAATTGTGATCTTCAGAAACAGAGGTGGTCACATACAAAACTGTGTGAAGAAGAGGCTGCAGGGACCAATCGTGATCTGAAGAGATTCTGCACTTTTCTAGGTGGGGAGGGGAAGTGACTCAAAAGCATTCCAGAGACTTCCTGAACAAAGCAGCATCTTCTTCCTGTCCAGGTGCTTCCCTCTCTATTTGGGGCGTTTTCTTCCAACCACCCTCCTTTCCAACACCCTTCTTCATCTTTCTTCTCCCTAATTATGTGTCACCTTAGATTTTCCCTGGGTTGTTTATAAATAATCCAATTGCCTTCAAAATAATAATGTTGGAATCACCCACTTAAAAGTTACTTTTTCCTAATGAAATTTCTACTGTAGTGTTTTACTAAATCTGTCTATTTTTGTAAAAAGACTTCAGATAATAGCTGAAGAAGCTAAATGACTTCAGAAGATAGCTATAAATGGTGCCAGCAAATTCAGAAGAGGCCTGAGATGATGATAAGTGTTTCCACTTATTAATTTCTTACCACGTGCCAGGCACTGTTGTATGAGCTTTTCATATATTATCTAATTATCATAACAACAACCCTTTAAGGCAGGTATCACTTATTAGTCTCATTTCACAGTTGATGAAATGCAAGCACAGATTTATAGGCAAATACAGGGCTTGGCAAACCATGGTCCTTGGGTCAAACACAGCCCTAAAGTTTTCTTGAACTTCTACACCCTTTCACTGACATAGAGTCTGGGGCTGCTCTTGGGCTACAGTGGCAGAGTCAACAGTTAGGATTGACAGTTTAGGGCCCAGAAAGCCTAAAAGAGTTACCATCTGGCCCTTTATAGCAAAAGTCCACCAACCCATAGTGCAAAACATGGCTAATTCATTGATAAGAAAAAAAAAAAGACAAGAATATTTGGACAGCTTAGAATAAAACTTCTGCTGAAACTTTGTTAGAAAATAAAAATTTTTAATGTAAAAAGTTCTGTTTTAACCTATTTCTTTCATAGATCTCTTATTGTATTTTTTCTCACCTGAAGTTTGTTAACTGGCCTCAGAAAAAAACAAGTGTTCATAGAATTCCAGCTCAGACACTAAAGGTTTCTCTGTCAGTATGGCGAGTTTCGATGAAGTGGTAAAGTTTCCAAGAAAGAAACAAAGAAAAAAGGCCAAAGAAAGCTTTGACAACCATAAATTTCCTGAGAGGTTTCACAAATTTTGGCAGTTTCACAGGTATTTCTCCTCAAGTACAAATGACATCATTGTTGAAATTCAAGAAACAATTGGCCTGGTTTACTCTACATTTGGTATCACATATTGTTTTGGTTGAGCATCAATTGATTTTTTTTTCTATTTTTACTGGGAAGTTATGTCATAACTATTTTTAGAAGACTGTCTGGTTTGATCATTTGTGGAACTGAAAACACAATTGTGTCCTAGAATTTTTTTCCCCCTAAAGTTATAAGAGTTTGGTGGAGAAAGCCCTCATCAGCAAATATCCCACCAGTTTATTCTGAAATACATTTTAAATTAAAAATCTAAAACAGGAAATGGGCACAAACACATGAAAGAACCTGGGATAGTACCAGGCAGCATAGGGAGTATAGCTTCATAATGTATCAACTTGAAATATAATATCATAAATTGAGAACAAATTAGCATCTGAACTGTTCTAATAATCATCATTTTATCCTTAAAAACCTAACTATAATCAAAGTCAAATTAATAACTGGATAAGTCAACTATACTCCAGCACAAAATAAAAATTAAAGAAGAAATAATACAGGGAAACAATAATCATAACAAATTAATAACTGCATTTCCAGAGTCTTGGATCTGGTACCTGAACTAAGTTCAGTTTGCAGAGAGTCAAATAATTTATGTGAATTGGTTTACTATCAAAGTAAAAGGTAAACACCCAAGACCAAGTCCAGGGTTCTTCTTTCTCTTTCACCACCTTCCCCTAAACAGCAAGCAACACAGAAAAGAGCATCAAACAGTAATTCCCACGCTTGTTTGCACAGAAGAATCACCTGGGGATCTTCCACACACACACACCACCCCCCCCCCCCCAGGCCACACCCCAAACCCAGAAATCCCTCTCTGGAGATGAGACACAGGCGTTGGTAGCTTTGGAAGCTCCAGACACTAGGAGACAACTGTGATTAAGCTGAAGATGACCCAAGGCGCTCAGTCAACACACCACTGACACCTGCAAGTCAGGAAGCTTGCATCCTGTCTGTCTGTCTGCCAGAGACTCACAGATCTTTGGGGCAGGAGTCACTAACACAACACACCAGGCACTGATATCATCATGCTTGCTCCCAACACGTAATCAATGCACGAATGCAAACACTGAGGATCTTGACCCAGTGATAATTGCCCTAGTGCTCCCTCTTAAACGATGCTCTGTTTAAACGTTCACACCATCTGAGCCTCTCAGGAGACACCGGGCGGGCTTCCTAAGAAGCCCTTCGTTGCAAGCCCTTTCCTTAAGGCTACTGATCCTGCGGGACAAACTTTAAACCCCCGCTCACAGTGCATCTTACCTCTACGATGCTCTTTAAATCTTGCACGTAAGTCCGTTCGGTCTCCAGAATTTCCTGCACAACCCGGTCCACGTAGAGCAGCTTGGGGCTGGTGGCCGCTTCGGCCCCCGTTTTGGACGCCGCGTTGGCTTCCACTCTGCGCTGTGCCCGGGGCTGCCGCTCGCCGCCCTCGTCTGTGCTCTGAGGCCCGGCCGCACCGTCCGTCTGCAGCTCGCTGCTGGAAAACGGCCTGGCTGGCATCAGCTCCAGTTTTATGGCCCCTGCTTCCTTATCCTGAGGAAACAAGCCCAGGTGGCTGCTTGAAACTAAGGTCATTCTGCTGCCGAAGGAACCATGGCTGTCCCGGGAGGAGGCCGAGGACGACGTGGAGCCGAAGCTGACCGGGCGGTCACTGTCGGAGAGCTCCATGGCCCCGCGGTCCCCGGAGCGGGAGTGCCTGGCCGTGGTTCTGAGATACGGAGCTTGTGTTAGAGCTGACCGCACTTCAGGACGCAGCTGGTGCGCATCTATACACGTGAAGAAAAATAAATAAAGGGACAAGATAAGCAAGGTAGGCAAGTATTTAAAATTAGAGGAAACAGAAAGGTTTGAAGGTGCTTAAAACCTAGCTCAAAGGACACGGTCAAAAGCAAAGACAGCAAGCTAGGTATAGACGGAAATGCAAAGATACCCATGGGACGTTGAATGGCAAAGGCGGAGTTTTTAAAGCGTCGCCTGGAAATGCGTCAGACTTAAAAGCCTTTGGCGCTACCTTAGACCTACTGAACGTCAGTCTGCCTTTCACCAAGACTCAAATGCCATGTGCAAGCACTTTAAAGTTTGAGAAGCAGCACCTGGCCTCAAAGCATGAGCACCTGAGTGATAGAGCAGCGAGTCCAGATTTACTAAGTCAAGGTCAGCGCTCAGGGCACAAGGAATCTACAGCTTCAACAAGCACCAAGGGGATGCTTATGTATTAAAAACAAAAACAAACCAACCCCAAAACAAAAAACCACACATCCTATGTGATTCTTAAGAGTAGTTTGAGGACCGCAGTTCTAGATTTTAAGTATTCCACTACAGTTCCACAAAACTTTACATTACCAGCCTGGAAACACCACTACTTAATGATGCTGACAGTTTTACACTTTACTTGTATATAGCACTAAAGAAAGTGTTGCCTGGACAATAATTCTCCAATACTGGGCAAGAAAACTCAAAATATTGAGACCCACATCCCCTTTAAAACTTAATTGTCCTATCACAACATTTCTCTAAATCTCTTCTCGAAAGCTGGCATTCCATTTGCTGTGTACATGGGGTTACACTGTTACAGAGTATATTTGATGATATACTACTTTCCATGTATCCAGTTAGATAACATGACAGTGTGACCATGCAATTAAATAATAAACATCAGAACTGTTTCTAAAGAAATAGGGCTGCTAATATTTAGAAACGGGTATAAGAAGAGAAAATTTACAAAGTCAGAGGTCACTTAAAATCTGTAGCACTTAAATCTTGGTTTCAAAACAGGCCTGGCATGGAATTTAAACTTTCAGAAGCTATTCTGATAAAAGACAAAGTTCCAATCTTCCTCATTTGTAAGGCAGGATCCACACTTTATCACCCTAGTAATGTGATCCCAAGTTTATACAAGCAAAATGCCTTGCAATAGTGTGACTAATAAAGAAATTTGCTTCATTTCAAAATCCACCCAAATCCATGTTTATAGATCTTGTTAGAAAAATAGAGATGGAAGGTTGTAATAAGACAAATACAATAACAAGAATATAGATCAATGACTGTCTTTTCAAAAGGAACATGAATTTGATTTGACTCAATAATAAAGATTATCAAACAGCTGATACCAATATTTCTAGAATATAAAAAGAACCCATCAAGTCTATATCTTTTAACATTCAGACTTTTCTTGGTGGTTTATATTCATGGCAAATATTAGCATTAAGAGTGTATTGCAAATAGTAAAACTATGAATATAAAATAAAGGAACTAATGTGGATCAACAAGAAGGAATGGTAATAAACATGCAGGAAATAAGTAAATTACCAGTATAACCACTACCACATGGTATATTTCCACAATTTTTTTAAAAGTTTTTGTGATATTCTGCTTTCTCTGTAACAACTTTATGGCCTATAAAACTTGGATTGGTTATAGTAGTTAAAATGTACTTGTGTTAAAAATCCTGGTCCAACTTAAATGTTGGAAAATCCAAGAAACAGCCAGGCATTTAGGTGTGTTTGCAGCAAAGGATGCCTACTCGTGTTTGGGACTGGTGTTAAGAAAGGCTTGGGCAGGGCTTTCCTGGTGGGTCAGTGCTTCAGAATCCACCTGCCAATGCAGGGGACACAAGTTTGATCCCTGGTCTGGGAAGATCCAACATGCCGCTGGGCAGTAAGCCCATGAGCCACAGCTACTGAAGCCTGCACACCCTAGAGCCTGTGCTCAAGAGAAGTCATTGCAATGAGAACCCAAGTGTGGCGACTAGAGAGTAGTCCCAGTTCTCTGCAACTAGTGAAAATCCCACGCACAGCAACAAAGACCCAGCACAGCCATAACAAACAAACAAATATATATGTATATTTTTCAAAGGAAGTCCTGGGTAGTTAAGATTAGGAGCAGACACACATTGGCATCTATCACAACCATAACCATAAGGTTGATGTTTCTTTCTGGAATGGGTGCTGACTTGGGAAGTATATGAGGATTCTTTACGGTCCCAAAAGGCCAATGTGACTACGCTGTTGTTGTTCAGTCGCCCAGTCGTGTCCAACTCTTTGCAACCCCATGGTCTGCAGCACACCAGGCCTCCCTGCCCCTCACCATCTCCTGGAGTTTGCCCAAGTTCATGTTCATTGTATCAGTGATGCCTTCCAGCCATCTCATCCTCCCTTTCCAGGTGCTCTGATTTTCAGACAGAGTACTATCCACCCACCCAACTTCTGTTTGGTCCTAAGTCATAGTCTCATTTGAGAAAACCATATTTGATAGTGACATAACTCTTGGGAAATACTCATTATCAGGATAGTGAAAAATGAACATAACACAGAGACTTATATTTTGTTTTTCTTTTTTTCTTTTTTTTTTTTACTTATTTCACTGCAAGTGAGCCAACCAATATTGGGACTGAGGGATTAAAGAGGAACAAGAAATTGCCAGATGTTTTAGAGGAATCCACTGTGGGCTACTAGGGCTGCTAGTGTCTTTTATACTTTCAAAGACAGGAGAAAGTGGGACATGAAACTCAAGTCAACAGGATTCACTTCATGGATGAGTCTTACATGGCAACATGAACTGGACCCTAACAAGGAAGACTTCATATGTTTCAATACCAGGCCACGTGCTCTAGGCCACTGAATCAGCCTATTCAGACTGCCAACCAGACATTTTATAAAACAGAATATATGAGGTATTTGGAGTGCTAGTATTTAGCCAAACTTACTGCCCCAAATTAAATACCTTCCAAAATTACCGATGACAGAAGTGAAACCTTTAAAACTAGGTCATTTAATGGCATGTAATAGGAGACTGCAGGTGGATAACAATTTTTCTGTTGATTCATTGCTTAGAAGATAATTATAGTTTTCTCACATAAGGAAATGTTCTTCATAAAAATTGTCTAGTCTTGTTCTCACCTCCTTCAAAATAATTTCAGATTTCCACCCTGTCTGGCTTATTCTTCCTAATACAATTAATCAATTATTAATATTTATCTCCAGAGCTACATTGTTCAACATAGTAGCCAGTAGCCAGTCACATGTGACTATTGAGCACTTAAAATGCAGCTCATCCAAACTGAGATGTGCTCAAGTGTAAGTGGCAACCCACTCCAGTGTTCTTGCCTGGAGAATCCCAGCAGCAGCAGCAAGTGAGAAATATATGCTTACTTTCAGACGGTAAAGAATCTTCCTGCAATATAGGAGACCCGGGGTCGATCCCTGGGTCAGGAAGATTGCCTGGAGAAGGGAATGGATACCCACTCTGGTATTCCTGCCTGGAGAATTCCATGGACAGAAGAGCCTGGCAGGCTATATTCCATGGGGTCACAAAGAGTTAGATACGACTGAGTGACTAACATATTTTCAAAGATGTAGAATGAAACAAAAAGTATAAAATACTTCATTAATAATTTTATATTAATTACATGTTGGAATCATATTTTGGAAGAGTGAGTTAAAAGATCTTAAAACTTTTTTCACTGACTCCATCTTACTTTTGAGAATGTGGTTACTGGAAAATTAAAAAATATATACATGTCTTGCACTCTATATCAGCTGGACAATGTTGATCTAGAAATCTTCTAGTGTGTGTGCTCGGTAGTGTCTGACTCTTTCGATCCCCTGGGTTGTAGCCTGCTACGCTCCTCTGTCCATGGGATTATCTAGACAATGATACTGGAGTGGGCTGCCATTTCCTTCCCCAAGAAATCTTCTAGATAATTATATTATTCTTAAATATTTATATATTTAATACTCATTGGTTTCCCTAGTGGCTCAGATGGTAAAGAATCTGTCTGCAATGCAGGAGACCGGGGTTCCATCCCTGGGAAGGGAAGATCCCCTTGAGAAAGGAATGGCAACCCACTCCAGTATTCCTGCCTGGAGAATTCCATGGACAGAGGAGCCTGACGGGCTATAGTCCATGGGGTTGCAAAGAGTGGGACATGACTGAGCAACTAACACTATTTTAAATATTATATATATTTGATACTTAAACTTAACTTCCTTATCAATCTTTGTCCCAATAATAGTGAATGAAAAGGTATGTGCAATTTGAAGTTTATCTTTTTTCACTCTGTTCATTAATACACAATATTGTTATGAATTAGCAACAACAGCATTTTGAGACAAGTGCTGTGTACTGGATATTGGGATGGCTGGTTTCCCAAGATAAACTGAAACACCCAGGGAGAAAACTGAAGAGCAAGAAAGCTTAATCCTCTGCTTTGCATGAAAGATGTTAGCACCTATGTTAACACTTGGGTAATTTATTGCTTTGCTTTACTTTCCTTCTCAAAACCTTCTTCTCTTACCAAATCTCAAACACAGGGCTAATAATATAGCAACTTAGGAGAACTTGCCAGTTGTTGCTAATGGCCCATGTCAGTGGCTTTTTTGACCATGAAAACCCTAAATAAGCTGATTTTCCCAGCTTGAGGGTCTTGGTTCATTGGACCCTTGGTAAACCTAGAGATGGCGGTGGTGGTAGCACATGGCGCAGGGGTGGGGATGGGGGTTGATTCTTATAACCAGCAGTACTGCTGTTACAACCAGCTTTTAGACTTAAAGGCCATCAACATAAAAATATTCCTTCTTGTGCCATCCTCAATAAAATGAACAATATGGCTGTCCAGCTCCCACACAGATACTTTTCACACATTTTGCTTCATGGCAAGTCTAATTTTTTTTCTAGGAGAAAGAGCTCAAATTCCTTGGCTTTCTTTGTTTGCTCTTCAAACCTCCATTATTTTAATTGCCCTCCTTTGGAATGTCACTGCCAGAAT